AAGACAGAGTCTCACTCTGTCACCCAGGGCAGAATGCAGTGACGAAATTTTGGCTCACTGCAACCTCCATCTTCTGGTTTCAAGCGATTCTCCTGCCTCAGCCTCCCAAGTAACTGGGATTATGTGCGTGCCACCATGCCAAGCTAATTTTTGTATTTTCAGTAGAGACAGGGTTTCACCTGTTGGCCAGGGTGGTCTCAAACTATTGACCTCAAATGATCTGCCCGCTGGGATTACAGACATGAGCTACTTGCACCAGGCCCAACTAACTTTTGACAAAGGTGCTGCAGCAATTCGACGTGGAAAGAACAGTCTTTTCAACAAATGATGCTAGGACCATTCGATATCCATATGCCAAACAAACAACAAACACACGCAGTAGACAGACACCTCACACAATGCAGCAAAATTAACTCAAAATGGATCACAGACCAACATGTAAGAGTTAAAACTGTAACTTTTAGAAAAAAAAAGAGGAGAAAAATCATTGTGACTTTCAGTTAGGGAAAGATTTCTTAGATATGACAGCAAAAGCATAATAAAAGAAAAAACTGATAAAATGGAATTCATCAATATTAAAATCTTTTGCTCCTCAGCTGGGTGTGGTGGCTCACGCCTGTAATCCCAGTACTTTGGGACACCAAGGTGGGAGGATCGTGAAGTCAGGAGTTTCAGAACAGCCTGACCAACAACCCCGTCTCTACTAAAAATACAAAAATTAGCTAGACATGGTGGCATGCACCTGTCGTCCTAGCTACTCGGGAGGCTGAGGCAGGAGAATCACTTGAACCCCCGAGGCGGAGGTTGTGATGAGCCTAGAGTTCACCATTACACTCCAGCCTGGGCAACAGAGTGAAACTCCACCTCAATAAAAATGGAAAAAACAACAAAAAAAATCTCTTGCTCCTCAAAATATCTCCCCATTAAGAAAATGAAAAGCTAAGCCATAGATTGAAGAAAAATATTAGCAAATCACATGTCTGATAAAATATTTGTATCCAGAATACACAGAGCGTGCTTATAACTCAATAAGAGGTGAAACAACCCAATTTTAAGAAATGGACAAAAGATGTGAATCAACATTTTACCAAAGATACACAAATGTCTACTAAGCACATGAAAACTGCCGTTAGCTATTAGGGAAATGTTAATTAAAATTGCAGTAAGATAGCATTACATACATATTAGAATGGCTAAAATCCAAAGACTGACAATATCAAGTGTCGATAAGATAGAAACTGGAGCCTACACACATCACTGGTGAGAACGTAAAGCAGCACAGCTCCTCTGGAAAACAGTCTGGCAATGTCATAAAAGTTAAACATAGGGCTGGGCATGGTGGCTCACGCCTATAATCCCAGCACTTTGGGAAGCCAACGCAGGCCAATCACTTGAGCTCAGGAGTTCAAGGCCAGACTGGCCAACATGATGAAACCCTGTCTCCACTAAAAATACAAAAAGTAGCTGAGCATGGTGGCACATGCTTGTCATCTCAGCTACTTGGGAGGCTGAGGCAGGAGAATCGCTTGAACCTGGGAGGTTGCAGCGGGCCGAGATTGTGCTACTGCACTTCAGCATAGGTGACGTCTCAAAAAATAAATAAATAAATAAAACATAAACATAAAAGTTAACCATTAACAGCAATTTCACTCCTCAGTATCTATCCAGGAAAAATTTAAAAATACATCTACACAATGACATGTATGCAAATGTTTACAGCCCTATTATTCATAAGAGAGCCCTCAACGGAAAACAATCCAAATGTTCATCAACTCATGAATATGTCAACAAAATGAGGATTAGCTATGTAATGAAATAGTATTCAGCAATAAAGAGGAATGAACTTGTTATAAGGTAGATGAACATTAAAAAAGAAAAAAAAACACATGCCCCAAAACATAATGTTAAATGAAAGAAGCCAGACACAAAACCCCACACATTTGATGATTCCAGTACAGGAAATTCATAGAAAAGACAAGTGTGCAAGTGAGAAGGGTGCATCTCCTCTGTGGTATTCTTGACAAAAATGCAAGACCTAAATCTAATCATGAATTAACAATAGACACGGCCAAACTGAAGGGCATTCTCCAAATAATGGGCCTGTACACTTTGAAAAAAATGTCGAAGTCCTGAAAGAAAAGATGAAAGCACTGCTCCACCTTGTAGACTAAAGAGATGTCAGTCAGAACACAATGTGTGATCCTGAACTGGATCCTGGACTGGGGAAACGTGACTATACAGGATACTACTGACATAACTGGTGAAATCTAAACTTTGACTGCAGATTAGATATCAGTTTCCTGACTTTGGTAATTTGTACTGTGATTATATAAGAAAATGTCCTAGTTCTTAGGAATACACTGAAGTATTTAAGGATGAAGGGATCTGATGTCTGCAACTTACTCTCAAATGGTACCAAAAAATTAATATGCATGTGTTATATATACACAGAGAAAGAAAACGATGAAATGATGTAAAAATTGAGCAAAATATAAACAGTGAGTCCAGATATATGAGCTCATTATACTCTTATTGCTGGCTTAAAATGATTATATCAAAATAGAGCTATTTTAAAGTGTCTTATCTCACTTTTCTTCTTTATATTTACTTTCATTACACCAAAGACATCTTTCTCAAACATCACCAGGATCAGGTATCATCCCTTCTCAAAAAAGTCTTATGGCCTCAAAAGCCACAGAATAAAGTTCAAACTGTAGTATATTTACAGTTCTCTAACTGTAAATTTACTGTGGCTCCAATGTACCTTTCCAGCATCACTTCTCTGATTCTTCCCCAAACACTTTCAGGTTTCTAAGCCTCGGTTGATACCACAGCCTGGAATGTCTGACCCTTTAGTCTTCATCTTTTTCAAGTTCAAGTCAAATGTCTTTCTGCTTAGCTTTTCCCAATCCCTAAAGGCATGCTCTTTTTCTCTACACGCATGCTATGTTAACGACTTCCCTTTAGCGTTTCAAAAACATTATCACACTGGACTTCCATTGTTTGCCCATTGTCTGGCACATGGTGAACCTCTGTTGAAGTCCTGTCGTAATTTTATTTTCTAACCTTTCTAATAAATATGCAAAATGACTTACTTTTTAAACAAAGGCAATTAAGTACATTTTGATTATTAATATAGTACTTGGACAAGAAATCAAGATTAAACAGTGATATATCTATTGGCAGAAAATAGATTCAATTGGTTGAAAATATTTTTCTTTTTCTCTTTTCTTTTTTACTGAGACAGGGTCTCGCTCTGTCACTCAGGCTGGAGTGCAGTGGCATGATCAGGGCTCACTGCAGCCTGTACCTGCTGAACTTGAGAAATCTTTTTGCCTCAGCCTCTTGAGTAGCTGAGATTACAGGCATATGCCACCATGCCCAGCTAATTTTTGTATTTTTCACTAAAAGTGGGTTCTCACTATGTTGCCTAGGTTGATCTTGAATTCCTGGGATCAAGTGATCCTCCCATCTTGGCCTCCCAAAGTGCTGCAATTACAGGCACGAGCCACCCATGCCTGATGAAATTATTTTTCATAGTCATCAGTGACCTTCAAACTGAAGCAAGCTTTATATCTTTTGGCTACAGGGCTTCCTGACTTCAGAATTTACTAAGTATTTCACTCTCAAGTTAATAAAGTTCTGTGTACAAAGGCAGATACGTATAGAATTGGGCTCACTGATGATTACGGAAAGAGGTAGACAGACACCTGTGTGGCTCAGTAAATTCTCTGAACATTTCTATTTAATTTCGTTAGTCTCAAGTATTTGCAAAATGATGTACACAGAAACAGAATAGGCTTGGAGGTGTTATTTTCCATGATTGTATCACAAGTCAAGTCCTGAGGACCTCAAGGAATACGCTGAAAGAAGGAAAACAAAAGAAATGGAGAGGTCGAAATAAAGAAGACGATCCCCGTACGGGCAAAAATAAATAAATAAATAAAGAAGAGCCAAAAAACACATGTTCTAATCTAGGAGCTTTAGGAAACTCCTGTAAACAGCAGCATTAGGAATGAGGAGGATGGCCGGGCGTGGTGGCTCACACCTGTAATTCCAGCAATTTGGAAGGTTGAGGAGGGTGGACCACTTGAGGCCAGGAGTTTGAGAGCAGTCTGGCCAACGTGGTGAAAAATAAAAATAAAATAAAATGGCTGGGTGTGGTGTCCTGCAAGGCTGCAGCGAGCCAGGATCGTGCCACTGCACTCAAGCCTGTGGGACAAAGTGAGACCCTGTCTCAAAAACAAAACAAAACAAACAAAAATGAATGACGAGGGAAAAGAGATTTTGAAGAACAGGCCAGATCAGTTAGGGAATCCACAGGCTGTTAAAGTCACAACCTGATATGCTGTTATTATTTTCAACCAAACCAAACATGAATTTATATTTAATAAGCCTGATTAGTAAAATGGGCCATTAAATCATTGTTTTATCAACATAACACTGAATTATTGAATTTCAAAAGTACACACACCTATTTACAAACCTGTCCAGTTGGCAATACAATCGGACTAATGAAAAGCATCCCCAGAAAACCAGAAGACCACGTAATTATACATAACCCCATAAAGTAATGTTGTTTAACGGTAACACATTTCGTGTGTGCACATAACGCATCTGCAAGTCTGGCATAAATCCTCTTTATTTCCAGGCCTCTGGTCTTGAGCCTTCTTCATTTAATGACAACAGTTACCCTTCTCCGCCACACGTGGGCCTCCGCCTCGCGCACTCTTGGGCCCCCGACCCCGACACCTCCCCGGGCTGCTGGCTGCGGGCTGCGCCGCTTCAGCCCCGAGGGACCAGCACCGCGTCGGTGCTGCCGCCTCTAACCTACCCCTTCCCTTCCAGGGGCCACCGAAGCAGAAGGCGGGCCCGCTTTTCTTCCGGGGAACTTTTCTTCGTTCCCGCATTCGGAGGCGCAGTCCAGACGCCGACCCTCTCCCCCGTCAGCCCCGCACGCCGCCCCTCGGTCCCCCGCCGCCGCCAGAATCCGCACTTACGGCACGGACGGGGCGACGGTGACGCAGCCTGGAGCAGCGCCGAGCAGCCCCACACCCGGCCCCAGCCGCCGCGCGCGGGTCGCGAGGAGGAGGCGGCCGCGGACCCAGCGACTCGGGAGCCAGCGGAACCGCAGCGGCGTCTCCCGGGCAACCAGGACGCTCAGGCCGCGCCGGGCGGGGCGGCTTCCGGAGCGGGTTCCCCGGGCGCCTGCAGCCCCGGCCGCGGTCCTTCCTCTTTCGGTGGGTAGCCTCGGGGCCGAGCCTGTAATGTCTGGGTGTGGACGGAGCAAAAGATGCATGAGGGCGCTCAGGAAACATCTCAACCACTTTCCCCTTAATATTGTGATTACTCCAAGTCCCCTTCTTTCCCAAGGCATGGAGAGCACTAAAATTAAGCACAGGTAACGCTTGAATATTGATTAGTTCGTTTCCCTGCAGAGACTTTGAATTTGCAAGATCTTCTGTCATTAGTCATTACTTTTTAGTCTTTCTTAATTATCCAAATACCATTTCAGCAAACTTATGTAGGTTTTTGGATGAAAAGCAGCTATGGCTCAGACGCCATTTTCCTAATTTACTTAGCATTGTACTCGTATCTGGGGCTTAGAATCAGATACAGGTTTGATACCCATTGGGGAAGAAAGTTAATAAAACAGATAATGTAATGAATGCTATGTGGAGATAATGTATGACTTGGGACAGAGAATTTTTGCCAGAGCTTACCCATTTTGTTCCCAGGATTAACTTAGAAATGCTGTATGTTAATAAGCACACACTACTTTGTTTCAGCATCAGCAAAATTCTCCCCATGATCACGGCCAGGTTTAGCACTTCCCTCCTTCCCTCACAGGTGACTCTCCTCTCCTGTTTTCATCCGTCTCATTTCTTTTCCGTTTCTTTCAGTTCCTTAGATACATGCTCAAATCTCCTATCTTAAAATCAAACCAAAAACCTTTATCTCCTTCCTCTTTGGAGACCAAACACACTTCCACTACACTCAAATATAAAACTCACATCTACCCAATTCCTGTATAATTTGCAGTATTATGCTATAGAAAAATTTCTCATTAAGTATACAAGTATCATCCTATGTACAAAACCACCGACATATTTATATCTTCATGATACTTGCTTTCCAGTTTCTGAAACTGTTGATTCCTAGCTGCTTCTCTCATAAGGAGGCTTTTCACAACCAGGCCTATCTTTTTATGCAGCTTCCTGCCCTATTACCCTGCTCCAGGCACCCTAAACTCTGGTTCATTCAATTCAGTGTCACTATTCCTTGAACATACATGCCTTGGCCTAAGCTATAGGTTCCTACCTTGCTTTCTTCCTGCATATGATAAACGCCTCTTCATCTATAAACAAATGTTTCTACACAAATCAGAATTAGGCACAATCTCGTTTTTTGTTTTTGTTTTTTGGAGACAGAGGCTCACTCTGTCACCCAGGCTAAAGTGCAGTGACACAATCATAGCTCACTGCAGCCTCAAACTCATGGGCTCAAGGCATTCTCTCACCTCAGCCGCCCTCCTCAGTAGCTGGGAATATAGGCATGTGCCATTATATCTGGCTAATTCTATTTTTTGTAGAGATGGAGTCTCGCTATGTAACCCAGGCTGGTCTTGAACTCCTGGCCTGAACCTCGTTTTAATACTACTTACTTCCGTTTGCCTCTATTCATTCAAGTGTGCTCCTTGGATGCATACTGGTTGGGAATTAAATCGTTTCCATCTCTTCTCCAGTGCTAGTAAAGTGCCTTGGCTACACTGCAAATAATCACTATATGTTGTATAAATAATTATCTCACAAAAGTTAAAAAAAAAGGAAGTCTTTGTTATGACTTTTGACTACTTACTTTATATACGTTAACCGTAAATTTTATGTAAATCCTTTTTTCTTTGTACCAAATTTGGGTAAGAAAAATGCCTTTGGCTTTGGTTCTGTTTATGTGATGAATTGTTTATAGACTTGCATTTATTTTGAACCACATGATTATCTCAATTGATGCAGAGAAGGCCTTTGACAAAATTCAACAGCCCTCTATGCAAAAAACCCTCAATAAACTAGGTATTGACGGAATAAACTAGGTATTGATGGAATAAACTAGGTATTGACGGAATTGAGGTATCTCAAAATAATAAAAGCTATTTATGACAAACCAACAGCCAATATCATACTGAATGGGCAAAAACTGGAAGCATTTCCTTTGAAATCTGGCACTGGACAAGGATGCCCTCTCTCACCACTCCTATTCAATATAGTACTGGAAGTTCTAGCCAGAGTAATCAGGCAAGAAAAAGAAATAAAGGGTATTCAAATAGGAAAGGAGGAAGTCAAATTGTCTCTATTTGCAGACAACATGATTGTATATCTAGAAGACCCCACTGTCTCAGCCCAAAATCTCCTGAAATGATAAGCAACTTCAGCAATGTCTCAGGATACAAAATCAATGTGCAAAAATCACAAGCATTCCTATACACCAATAACAGACTTAAAGAGAGCCAAATCAAGAATGAACTGACATTCACAATTGCTACAAAGAGAATAAAATACCTAGGAATACAACTAACAAATAACATAAAGGACCTCTTCAAGGAGAACTGCAAACCACTGCTTAACGAAATAAGAGAGGACACAAACAGATGGAGAAACATTCCATGCTCATGGTTAGGAAGAATCAATATTGTGAAAATGGCCATACTGCCCAAAGTAATTTACAGATTCAATGCTATCCCCATCAAGCTACCAATGACCTTCTTCACAGAACTGGGAAAAAAAAAACACCTTAAACTTCATATGAAACCAAAAGAGAGCCTGCATAGCCAAGTCAATTCTAAGCAAAAAGAACAAAGTGGGAGGCATCACACTACTGGACTTTAAACTATACTACAAGACTACAGTAATCAAAACAGCATGGTACTGGTACCAAAACAGAGCTATAGACCAATGGAACAGAACAATGGCCTTGGAAGCAACACAACACATCTACAACCATCTGATCTTTGACAAACCTGACAAAAGCAATAGGGAAAGGATTCCCTGTTTAATAAATGGTGTTGGGAAAACTGGCTAGCCATGTGCAGAAAGCAGAAACTGGACCCCTTCCTCACACCTTACACTAAAATTAACTCCAGATGGATTAAAGACTTAAGCATAAGACCTAACACCATAAAAACCCTAGAAGAAAATCTAGGCAAAACCATTCAGGACATAGGCATAGGTAAGGACTTCATGACCAAAACACCAAAAGCACTGGCAACAAAAGCCAAAATAGACAAATGGGACCTAATCAAACTCCACAGCTTCTGCATGGCAAAAGAAACAGTCATTAGAGTGAATTGGCAACCAACAGAATGGGAAAAATTTTTTTGCAATCTACCCATCTGACAAATGGCTAATATCCAGAATCTACAAAGAACTAAAACTGATTTACAAGAAAAAAAACAAACAAGTCCATTCAAAAGTGTGTGAAGGATATGAACAGATACTTTACAAAAGAAGACATACATGAGGCCAACAAACATATGAAAAAATGCTCATCATCACTGGTCATTAGAGAAATGCAAATCAAAACAACATTGAGATAGCATCTCATGCCAGTTAGAATGGCGATCATTAAAAAATCTGGAGACAACAGATGCTGGAGAGGGTGTGGAGAAATAGGAACACTTTTACACTGTTGGTGGGAGTGTAAATTAGTTCAACCATTGTGGAAGACAGGGTGGTGATTCCTCAAGGACCTAGAAATAGAAATTCCATTTGACCCAGCAATCCCATTACTGGGTATATATCCAAAGGATTATAAATCATTCTACTATAAGGACACCTGCACACGAATGTTCATTGCAGCACAGTTTACAATAGCAAAGACCTGGGACCAACCCAAATGCCCATCGATGATAGACTGGATAGGGAAAATGTGGCACATATACACCATGGAATATTATGCAGCCATCAAAAACGATGAGTTCGTGTCCTTTGTAGGGCCATGGATGAACCTGGAAACCATCATTCTCAGCAAACTGACACAAGAACAGAAAATCAAACACTCATAGGTGGGTGTTGAACAATGAGAACACATGGACACAGGGAGAGGAGCATCACACACTGGGGTCTGTTGGGGGGAAATAGGGGAGGGACAGTGGGGGTGGGGAGTTGGGGAGAAAGAGCATGGGGAGAAATGCCAGATACAGGTGATGGGAGGAAGGCAGCAAATCACACTGCCATGTATGTACCTATGCAACAATCTTGCATGTTCTTCACATGTACCCCAAAACCTAAAATGCAATTAAAAAAATGCCCTTTGGCAAAGCAAAAATTTAAGACAGAAATTACTCTCTTGTGTTGCAGAAACGGTGAAAATCAAAACCTGAAATCAAACACCCGGAAGAAAAAATACCTAATTTTAGAGGAAAGAATAAGAGAATCTATTTTAGTGGGCAGTGAATATACTGCATGTATTTATGTAACAGCCTCGCATAGTAGTTGAGTATACAATTTGAACTACGTGCCTAGGTTCAAACTTTAGCTCTGTTATTTCCCAGCTATAGTCCTGGGCAAGCTACTTAAACTTTCTGTGCCTCAGTTTCTTCATCTGTAAAAGAGTTAATAGTACCTCACGGGGTGTTCTGAGGCTTATGTGGGATTATGTAAAGCACGTAGATGAGTACCTGGCACACAGATACTTGGACTGGGAACTTACTGTTACATGCCCTCTTAGTGTTTACCCATTATTCTGTACAGCCACATACTTTCACCTCTCCACCAGTAATGGTGAAAACTGATATAATCTGTCCTTTGTTTCCTGTATCTTTACTGAAATCAGAGTCACATGTGCAGGCTGAATGATGCCATTAGACCCATAACCAGTTTATCTCATTCTCAAAACCAGTGTCCATGCAATTAGCTAGTTAGACTGCTTGAACTTCAATAAAGATGAAATAGATTGTGTCCAACATGTCAGTGGCTCTCTTCCTTTTCGGGTACGTAAAGATCCATAATCAAAAGTTCCTGGGTGGAGTCTAGAAATTTCACTTTTAGCTATTACCAAAGATGA